CTGCCCAAGAGCCATCCTCTGGCTCCCCACACCCAGAGCCCCTCTTTAACACCCACACTTTCCCTTAGTCCCATTTTCCCTCTCCCCATCTACCTTTTCAGCTCCCCCGTAGCTCTGGCTCCAGTCCCAGCCTCTGTGCCAGCATCGCTCCCCTGTTCTGTAGGCTTTGGGTGTTGTCTTTTAATCAATTAAGGTCAATTAACCTAAAGTTACCCCCAGCCTCAGTTCTTCAGTCCAGGTCCCTCTAGTCTACCAGTTCTAATCCCAGTCCTGGTGACTTTCACTCCCAGCAGCTTTCACTCCCTACACTTCTACTTTCTTACCTTAACCTTCTCCCGGCTATCCCAAGTACACCAAGCATGTACATGCACACATACATACACATCACAACACCCAACTTAGGAACTCACCTGTGTGTATGTGTAGGTGGGTGGTATGTGTGTGAACTGGTGTGTGTGTGTGTGTATGGCATTGTGTGCATGATATACAAAATAGTGATCTGTGTCTAACTTCTGGGGTGTATAGTGTATGTGCTTGAATTGGTGATAAGTATGTATGTGCCTAGGCTGGTTTGAATGTGTATATGCCTGAGCTGGTTGTGTGCATGTGTATGCACCTAATTGATTTGTGTGTTTGTATATGTGCAATTGTGTCACACCTTCCTGTATAACAGTGCAACATTGAGATCCTGAGAGTTGGCCTGACCCCACAGGGCAACAATAGAACTCTATTCTAGGAGGCAGGGACTCTGAAAAAGACTTGGTGGATAATCAGCTGGATATTAGATCTAAGTGCAATGCTCTAAGTGGTTATGTTACCTGAGTATTTCACATGGTTCAACTCCAGCTTAGATTATTGTCAGTTCAAATACAAGGAGGATGTGATAAATTTGAGAGGGCTCAGAAAAGTGCTGCAATAATGGTAAAAGGATTGGAAAATATGCTCTTAGAGAGATATTCAAGGAGCTCTATCTGTGTAGTTTACAAAGGAAAAATTAAGACATTACCAGATCATAGTTTATTGGTATCATCACCTGGTACAGAAATCTGGTAAGAAGGCTCTTCCAACTAACAGACAAAAGCATAACATGATCCAAAGACTGGAAGTTGACTCTAGGCGAGTTCACAGGAGAAATAATGCATTCTTTTTTTAAACAGAGAAGGTTAATTTAGCCACTAAATCAATATACCAAGTCTTGTAATGACCACAAGTGCAACTATCAGTAATATTGTTGAATGAATTGTGGTGAACTCATCCTGGACAGATATCTTCATTACAGAAAAAAATATCATCACAAATTACTTTAATCATAACTTTGGTTATTATTTACACCAGAAAGAGCAAAGATTTTACTCGCCAAAGAACAAATCTCCATCCTTCACCTCTGATAACCAATTCAAGAAAGATTTGAGGCTCTCTACTGCTGCCAATATTACAGACATGTTCTGTCTATACAGAAGTGTTTCCAGTTACTTCTCAGTTTTTATAATTAGCAGCAATTTCATCAATGAAAAAGACAAAAAACAGTTGAAATTATGTTAAACAAAAAATGGCAAAGAAATGACATGTTGGGGGATCTTTGATATAAATGACATAAAGGAATAATTAAAAAGTAGTTAAGGGCCAGTAGGGACAGCAAGATACTACAATCTATTATTCAATAAAAGCCTGTGACCACCAGTGTTATGAGCTAATGTCCAAAAATCAAATTGAAACATGATTAATGTCTCCTAAATCTCTGAAGATCACTTAGAGAAGGGTGTATATAGGATATAGTATAGTATGCCTTGCAGTTACAATCAATTAAGCAGGAGGAGACAAGATAATACGTGTAATTAACAACACTTGGACTAAGCTAAGATTATAAAAATTAACAGCGGCATTAATTTTGTTACTTTCTGTTAATGTACTCTCGGACAGGTTTTAGATGGATGAGTAGTGATAAGGTCAGCTTCCAGTGTTACATTCCCATTGCTGTCTAAAACAGGAGGGGGAAAAAATCATGTAATCTGCAGGAAATACATTAGTGCAATGCTCTGAAAAATATTAGACCACATCCAGGGCTTGTCAGGAAAAGAAAGAGATGCCTTTAAAAAGAGCTAAGTGCATGGAAATGCGTAGGGACTGCTCAGGGAATCATAAACATTGTGACACAAAATGTTGGGGTAAGCCAAAGTTCTCATATTTGTAGCCATGCTTTCATTTGTCTTCCATAACCTTCAGTAAAACATTAAACAGACTGAGCTTCTTACCACATATAGACTCTGAGCCTCTTTCTCTATATACACCAGTTGAATGAATTAATCTAACAAGGATAGTGTGGAATTCACCACCATTGGGGGAGAAAAAACAGGTAGACACCTTCAAAACAATAACCTCAATGTCTCAGGACATTGAGACAATACCGCATCTCTGCAGACACTAATCTACAGTACGGCCAGGTTATCTGTCCAAAGGAAGGAGAAACTCACAGCAGTGCCTTGAGATTATAAAATGAGAAGCACATTAAATGTCAGTCCCGAAAGAATATAAGCATTACAGGAAGTGAATATAGTACTGGGCAAATTTTCAAAATCCCATGTGGTTCAGGAAGCCTGATGGATTTTATGTAAGGAGGATCATCCAGGATCAGTTGGGAGAGAGGGAAGTGCTCATTTAACATCAAATAAAAGGTAAAATTCAGCATTTTTTTTGAGAGAGAGAAACATGTAGCTTCTGAATTCCATTGTGAGTAAATGCAATGGATCAAGTGTTCTATATTCTAAATAGGAATCTTCACAGGTGAGGCTAACGTGTAGATACAGATCTACAAAACAATGGTATTCACTTTGTATTTTCAATATAACCAGAAATGTGGAGATTCTTTTTGGTAAACTGAAGGGAGAAATTAAGAAAATATAGTATACAGCACCAATATCCTCTCTAGAATGTGTTCTTCAACAGATTCTAGTGAATCTAAGTCTCTGCCTTCCCTTTCTCCGAAACACTAAATCATCGTTTACCATGAGGGACTCTGGGATGGAGGCCGACATTTACATG